CTAGAGCTGTAATAACGGCGAATGAGTGGTCCGCGACAGCCGCGTGCGGCGAATCGGTTACCAAATTCGTTCCTAACGCCCGCCTCCCTTTTTTAGCCTGTTACCAAGATTATAAACAAGCTTGTTTATCGTCTTAGTAGCAGAATTTATGAGAAAAAATCTTATAAAATGTTTTCACTTTCATTTATCATTGGAACAGCTATAAGGGAATATGAGATGAACTTGTAGTCCTAGGAGGAGAGGTTGTGCCTTACATCACCACATTAGAATTTTTGATTACTAGGGAACCTATTTTGTTATGGGAGAGCTGTACGCAGGCTGTTTGGGAAAATACGCTTCAACGCAAACATCGTCTCAGCTGCAACGAGAATGCTAAAGTAGCCCACAAGCGCCTAATGCCATCCATCGATATGAGAGCGTACGACGCTTGACGCTTGGCGCCCAGCGCTCAAGGTTCAACTCTAAAAGCGCTTGCTTGAGGAACCATCAAAAACGTGCCTATTATATGGATAATTGTCACGCCACACAATTAAGATCTAATTTATGACATTCTGCCATACAAAAGTGCAATTTTTAAGGGGTATTCCAGAAAACTGTATCTATAATCAGGCCTTCAGGCAAGAAAATTCTGCTGCTTCTCAGTTTCTGTGTCAGTTGCATTTGCATCGCCCTCCCTCGACAGCCTCTTTGGAGGCCATTATCGGCCCTTTACTGCCATACGCTATTGATTGACGTCCTTCGTAACAGAAGACTTTTGTGCCTCTTTGATGGAGCGCTGATTGATGTGCTCTCAAAGTTGTGCCAAATTTCCTTTCCGATCTTTAAAACATAAAATTTCCCGAAGCGGACTGAGTGCCCATAAAGGTGCAGAGGTTTCTCTCCTAACATCGAATTTCAGGCACCCGCTCCACTGAGACGTACAAAACCAGAAATATATCTAGGTTCGATTCGACCTATCCGAAAACTTCACTAAGATCGATTGCCAGTAGGTTTAATAGCTCTCGAAGCCAACTATTGTCCATGAGCTGCTAGTTTGAGCNAATTTCAGGCACCCGCTCCACTGAGACGTACAAAACCAGAAATATATCTAGGTTCGATTCGACCTATCCGAAAACTTCAGTAAGATCGATTGCCAGTAGGTTTAATAGCTCTCGAAGCCAACTATTGTCCATGAGCTGCTAGTTTGAGCACTATCCTACCTGGAGGCCATGAGACTCGGATCGTCACATTTTTGAGACGGAACCCTACCAAAGCCGTATTTGAACTTCATAGAGTTTGAGTTCATTTGGAGGGGTACAAGTCAGTAAAAGGCGGCTGTTCCTTTGGCTCGGCTGCCCTTCTTGCTGCGCACTGTAGTATAAGGATTTCTAAGCAGACTTTCACCATCAGGAGCTTCAGAGGATTTTTAGCAGCTGCCATACCGATACTTGCTACTTCCAGGAGGAAGTGGGCACAGCAGGTGAAGGGATATGAATTACCTGCTTCTAATAATACTACCTTTTGTCCCCACAAGGTGTAACATCGTAGACGATGAAGAATCACCAAGCATCATTTAAAACATCATTTCACAAGGGAAAAGAAACGTTGAATGCGCTAGAAGAGCGATCAAGGAAATAGTTTTTAGGCGAAAATTCTTTTCAATAGAACAGTTAAGTATGAACAATAAAAGAAATACAGTATGATTTGAAACTTGAGAATAAATTAAAGGGTTGACTGCAAATCAGATGAATAGTGTGTAGTTTGAAATGAGCTACGATCATTTTTCTAGCTAAAACCCCATCCAACTTTGGATGCCGTCGAAGCTACATATATTTACCTTGAATTCTCAATAAAAATTGGCCTTTTGGAGGGAAACTCAAGAGAACTTCAATTCTAGTGGCTCCCGGGTATGTGCCAACCTTGTATCTCCTTGATGGAATTGATGGTTGAACTTAATGACCTCTTTACCAAGGAATTATTCACGGGGAAAGTGGAAAAAACATAAGAACCAACTCATGACTGATTCGGTTAACCAAACAGAGCATAGGCAAAGAAGCAAATTGCGATTCAATGAAGCTCAAGTTGCATCGTATCGTGACGACTACTCGAAGTACGGCAACTAAAAGCTTTGGAATTTTACAACATGCTCGGGTTTATTTTTCTAGACTCAGTGCATTCCCCCCTCCTCGTGGGTGATGAATGCTTTCTCCGGGTGAAAAATGTTAGCAACACAAAGAGCAACTATACTACTTATCGATAGCATATTCATCATTGTGTTATTTCGACCATCAAAAGTCAATTTCTGGCTCTACAAGCTAGAACAAAAATAAAGTTCCAGGCCTAAGAATGACAAAGGCAAATAGAATGGGACCAGAAAAAGATCAAAGAAGGATTGCAATTTGTTTGGTCTAAGTGACACTGAAATATTCATAAAAATCTTTATTTTCTCCGGAATAATCTCAACATAAAAAAGTGTAATTATCGTACGGAAAGAAGCATCGTACGGATCAGATTCGTTCAAATTGAAACGTCCCTGTAAAGCATCTTCTCCCCAAATATTGGCTACGATCAGGTCAATATTTCCCTGGTATAGCTTTTGTGACTAATTTCAGCTCTAAAAGTAAGCTCTCAAAGCTCTCAATGTTAAGGAAACCTATTTACAAACAAAGTTTCGATTTTTTCTGCTCTTCGCAGAACCGTCTCGGTCGACTCTGCCAGCTAGTCCGTCAAACGGAACGCTTTCTCAGAGAAAAATCTGCAAAAGAGAAAAAATAGAAAAATTATCATCGTGGCGGCTAGAGAGAGAGAGATTTCAAACGAAATCTTTCAAAATTTCGAGGAAATAATGCGAAATAGTGGATTTTTCAAACAATTATAAAAAATCCTGATTGACTCTGGCTCGGAATACTTTTTCTAGTGAAATCAACCTGTTGTTTGATTGCAAGTAAGTCTCGAGTCCTTACGACTTTTTCCAAANNNAAATAGGAAGACAAGAAAGTTTTCAAATACTTCTTAAACCCGTTTTGTTCAAATTCATCGATGAAAGCAATATAATAAAAATAAAAAAGTTCAACGAAAAACTTACGAGATTTATCTGAGAAGTAGATTTCAAATCAGCTTCTTAATATGCGTTTTAACTACAACTGTTTTTCAGTTCAACGAAGGCAAGACAGCAGCGAGTGAGCTAACAGTGTCACTTGGCAGAGGACTCACACAAAGTCCTATTTCCTACGTAGCTGGCCTGCTGGTACGTTTCAAGTATACCTGCTACAGAAAATCTTCCTGTCCTACAGGCTATTACATGGGTTCTGAACGCTTCAATGGAGATATTGACCGTAGTTCAAGGGATAAGAGCAGGGGCCGTAAGATATGCTCTCCTGTTCAGGGCTGGGAAGCCCCGATCCGGGTCTCTCTCTCTCTTTGCTCTCCCCAAAGCATACCTTACCGGGAAGGGGTTCCTACCCTGTTCGGGAGAGCATACCTTATGGCCTCAGGGAGGGGGGCAGATGGGAGGGACCTTCTAAGCCTAAGATTTGCTCGCCNAAAAAAAATTATTAATTTTTCTCTGCACAGCAACCTGTGACGCCAGTTCCGTGTTTTGGTCAGCACAATGCGATGCAAATGGGGATTATGGAAATCAAAGGGTTTGACTAAAAAAATGATTTACATTGTTTTCGTACTGGTACTTTTTGACAGTACTTAAAGCCATTCTCTGTGACCATCATCATCGAATATGCGTGCCGCTGTCCTGTTCTTCTGTCTGCTCCCTGCTCTGGTAGGCCTTAATATTTCACCATAGTCGTAATTATAATATTTAATAAAGTGAACGTTTGCGTTGATTTCTAGCCGACCAGAAATTTCACCACAAAAATCTGCTTTCAATCAAAATAGTAACCAGGGAATTCATTGGACCAGGTGGAACCATAGAGCTTTTAAATAGGAAAAGAAGTAAAGTGTCGTAAGTAGGTTATGTGGGCTTATTTGCAGGAAGGCTGCAGAAAACTCTCCGAAAAAGGAATTCGCATCATTCAGGTTCATAGGCCTCCAGCTTTGCTACTTCACCCTTCTCAGAAAACGAACGGCACCTCTATCTGACAAAGACCGAATTTTTTTTTTGGTTCGAAGCTTTGTAGAAGCAATAGTAAGGAAGTAAGGCCCTAGCAAATTAGGACGACTGCCCTAAACAGTTCTGCACGCTCCCAGTTTCTCGAAGCCAAAACATGTAGTCCGACATCCGTTCCTTTTTTAGAGCAATGCAGCTGCACTTCCAGCTCTCTACGATGGAATCAGTCTGTCGTCGCAACTACTGGATCTCGTCAAGGTAAACCTACCTCAGTACCTTCAACTTGTGCACCCCATTCTCTTTTTTAGAGCAAATATTTCTTCTTACAAACAAGTATCAACAGACTGCAGCAGGGTATTGTCAATCTACGGAACGCCCCTATCAGCGAATCCGACATCGCTACACTCGGTCAGATGGCATCATTTCGTATTCATTACCAGTTTCCGAAAATGATTAGGTGTCTTAAAGCAAAGGCACAACAGAAATTGTCTTACAGAGCCGCAGATCCTCTCACTGAACGGTAGACTTCGTAATGTGCTATCCAGACCAGAGCTCCTGGATAGAATTCGTATAAGTCAATCATCCACTTTGATCGGAGGCTTGGCGAATCTCAGGTATCTTTCCATTTTTTTGTTGTTACCGTTGACTACGAACCACTTATCTGTTACTTTACGGTGGATTTCGAGCGGAACTTCCTTTCGAACGTAACTATTTCATGAGTGAAATCGACCATCATCATGAGCTTCTTCCCTCTGAAAGCCTTTCCTTGATTGAAGTCATGTCTACAATTTCTACAGAACTGATATATCGTTGCTGGGTTTGAGATGAATTAGCTTCTCTTATGACTAGGCATCCAGCAACAACAGAGGACAATTACTCTCCCACTATTTTTTAAAGAAAGCTACAAATTATTCATAAATGGGTCATCAGTCGCAAAATATATATTGGAGATTTATGGACAAAACTCGTACGGGATTCGACCCATGATCATGCTACCCGGGCACTGTGCTTTTTATCGCTTGCACTACCGAAACCCCATTGGTCTTTAGTTTCACAGAAGTGGGACAAGAGCGGACTCATTCCGAGGGATTTGAGCCACGGCTATTCACCGTTTTCGTATTCAGATCCAATCAAACTTTATTCACAGATGACTGCAAATCAATTGTTCCAAAGGAATGAATTTGACCATCTTTCATCGAATCATATTTCAGAGAAATCCTCCCAGCCAGTCAATCCGCGTTCAATGCCAAGTTTCGCAGTCTGGGAGCATATGGCATGATCACACAAGTTCTGGGTGAAATTAATCAACTCGTTAGCGCCATTGGAGCGCGCCTGTGAACTGACTTTCGTTTTTTTCCACAGCCATTGAAGGAAATAAAGGTTGTCATGTGTGGTTTCTTTGTGTCAGGTGAATCTCTTCTCTGAAGCTATTGCTTGAGAGCTACTTGCTTGCATCAATCTCTGTGCTATGGGATGCTACCCGCACCTAATTTTCAGTGCGAATCGTAGCGGCGTTTGAATGTGCTTGAGGCTCATACAATGACTTGTGGTGGCCAGTCGATGCACAAGCCAGTGCTTCTATCCTCCTAGACATGTCTGGTACCAATTAGCCGACTTCGGAATGGTGGAAGACTTGGTTTGCTTGCGCATTAATTTGCCTGGAATTTGATCCCAGGACCATGCGAGTGATAGTGCCCCGTTCAACACTTTATCGCCTCGGCAAATAGAAGTAAAAGAAGAAAAGAGTGTAGAAGTAACTTGCAATGAAGGATAGAGGTGTTGACCGTTCTGAGCCTTGTTGGGTAGTAGTTATGCTATCTTCACCCTTCATTTCATAAGCCACCGTCGACACAGTACTGAGTACTGAGTTCGTAGTCGTGAGGGGAACCCTTCTAGTAGAGGAGTATTAAGAATAGCTCATTGTTCACACAATTCTTTGGACTGAATTATCAGCTTGCACAATAGGAATTGGACGATTATTAATAAGCTATGTTATTCCTTAACATTAGAAAAACAGGCAGGTGTAAGAAACACTGCCATACGGTAACAACGGTAATGATTCATTTGAATTTGGAGAAAAGATCCATTTTTTTGGTTATCTCACGATTCCAAGTACCAAATTACTTTCAATTTACTTGCTTACTTACTTACTTTTGCTTTATTTGCCGAGAGATTCTCTTACATCCTTACGGTTACTGCTTTTGAACGTACCCCTGATTGGATATATTTGTTTACCTATGTGAATACAAATCATATATTATTGAATACAATGTATTTATATTTATATTACTACGTTATTCCTTCACTGTTATATTGAAAACTGAGGGAACATTTACTTCATATACTGAAGTTCGTCAAAGTAAATCAGCAACTGGTAAGTCCAAACAGAAGTTTCCATTTTCCGGGACCGCAACTTGGTGCTGTGCTGGCCGGAAGAATGAAGAGCCGCCTCATGGATGGGATGGATGCCAACTGATTGCCTGAGAGCCTCATAATACCTACATGAACTCCCTCAGAACGGAGAGGCTGAGAAATGAATACATCCATCATTTACTTTGACCACATAGATCTTAATTATCTATGAAAATGATCAATCCTTTGAGTATGAACCCAGTCATTCGACTTTTATTCATAATCGTTGTGGGGTACTGAATGAATGGGTGGCCTATGCAATGACTTGCGGTGGCGAGGCGATGTAGAAATCAGCGTCTTTATCCCCAGACAAGTCTTGCACCAAGTAAACGGCTCATGAAGGATGGAAGGCTGGATTACTCGGATGGACATCGAGCTGAATTTGAGCTCCGGGCCATGCGTGTGTGATAGTGCCCCACTTGCCGCAATACCACTTCGTTATAAAAATNAAAAAAATCATTTTTCAAGACTTCTTCTCAATTCTTCATTGGTATCCGCTACGTGTAGCCAATGGAAGTGCATTTCGAGGGAAGAGCCATTATTACCATTTACTGCTAAGTATTTATTAAATTAAATGGATAAATGTAATACGTGACACCTGATATCATGGAGCAGCTGAAATCAGGCCCCTCTTACTCGGCTATCAAGGAATTTTCGTTTTTTTCAAAAACTTTATTTCATTTATGTCTATTAAATCCGTACTAGTAGGTACCGTAGTGCTGCTAGCAAACTCAGTGAGAGCAGTTTTGTTTAGCCAACTTCTAAATTTGCACGGTTACTTAAATTACATCATCTTGATTCCAACTTATTTAAACTGTGCATACCATATCACTCTAATTCTGGGTGATTGCTTCACTTCTGCTTCCTCACTTAACCGATCTTTGTTTGAGACAGTAGGTTCACCTGGTTGGCCAGTCATGGCCATTATCTAAATAGTTACTCGAACAGATTGTTTTTGCAGGGTGGCCTAGAAAAACTAGTTGTGAAGGGATCAAAAAAGCAGTAGAATCGCTTCTTCACAAGAATTTGCGACAAATTACAAAAAATTTGAGACGAGAACTATGTGGAGTACCACAAACTTATCATAACTTTTACAGTATTACTTGTTGTTCTGCTTGAAAATAAAGGGAAAAAATTTAAACTACTGAAGTTCAGGTAGTAAAGTATTTTCTCATTAGGAACATGCCGTGCTTTTAAGAATGACACTCAGTGCTTTATGATAATTCTGCTGTGTGCCATCTTGTCTTCCCTTACTGCCTCTGGACTAGGTAGTAGCTCGGTCTACTTTGATTGGGTGCTACAGTTTCCCTTATTCTTCTGGACTAAAGTCTTATGGAAATCAAGGCTTCTCCAATCACTCCTGGAAGTAAAACCTAACATTACTAGTCATCTGTATCACCTGTCGTCCCGTTGATCATCGATTTCCTCGCGTGAGCTCCATTAACGTCTCCATTCGTCCCTGTCGCGAGGCAGAGTAATCCAGTGAATCGTCCTCGCTAGAGAGAAACGAAGCTTAACATATCTTTCATTCGGAGTCCAAGTGAAGAAGTCTGACGATCTTGTTGGCGGCCGTCCCGGTGTTCGTTTAACGTTCCGAGGGATCCAACCAAAATAATTGACTAAATAATTATACTGAATAATAAATTGGTGAAAAGGCAGTACAAAAGCGAGCTTCATATTGGAAGCAGTTCCTCGTCCGTGGGCATCTGAGTAGTATTGAAAACGGGAAAGTTTTGTCGCATGAGTCAATGAATTGTTTCTATTTGATAACTCACTTGTTCTAAAAAATTTTTTTCTTGATCTTCAAGTATTATTCCTTTGTCATCTTAGTGGACCTCACCTGGCCCACTTTCGCTTTCGCATGGGAAAGCCTGAAGATTTTTTTGACAGAAACCATTACTTGTAACCTGAATACTTACAAGCAAAATTAATCTAAAATTTCAAGAACAAATTTACTCTCAGACTTTGTAATTCCAACTGTTTTTTGATGTTTGACGTGTGTTAATGTTTAAAACTTCGTCGTTTTTTAATTCGGTAAGGCTCGGCCAAGATGATTATATGTTTGAGTACGTCTTCTTGAGCTCTCTTACTCATTCAGTAAAATAACCACTGTCCTCTCGAGAATGGAACTTTTTGTAATCTGAACTAAATCACTTGACCATTGTTCACAAGAAATTATTATTCATAAAGAAGAAGCACCACGTCAACGTGGACCTCATGCCCTTCCCCGTCTCAAAGTTATCGCTCAACTTTTCCTTTTCTCAAGCTGGTTACATGTTCGGGAACAGCTTTGTTTTTGTTCATACCAAGCTCTTTCTGACCAATATAGAGAACAATTATTTATAGTAATAAGTCAAGTGACTAATTGGTATGTGAACTAAAAAAAGGGGCATCCAATGTAGTACCTAAACAAACCACAAAATACTTTGCACTCGAGTACATCTAGACTACGTCATGGGAGCGTACATACGTACCATGTAGGTGAGCTATAATAACCCCCTGAGCAATGAATTCTGAGTGAAAATCCTTTTCATAACGATGAGCTCTACTGACCATGCCTCTACAGTGCCAAGGTAAGATGCACCTTAAGTGCCTAAATGTTTTTGTAGAACTTTATATATAGGGAAATCGGTTTGTTCATGACTGGGAATCGTTTTTTACTGGATTGATACAGAAATCCTTCTAAAAAAGATGGACCAAAGGTAAGTCTGGTAATACGGGAGGTATAGGTACAAGTTGTTACCTACGTTTGTCTCCTGACGCCGTCTGGAATGCCTTCTGATGCCACATTTTCGAATTTTAAATGAAAACGCCAATTTCAGACAACCAATGATGAGCCCTGTATTTTCACCGATTTGCCAGTCAATATCTTCGTTAGCGATCCTGTGCAATCTCTACCTGCTATATGTGTATTTCCGGTGTCCTCTAAATGCTATAAAATCCTACAAATACGTATTTCTCCTAACTGCGATTCAGGATCTTATTTACTCTGCCTGTTTGCTTCTTGCTGTACCGGTAAGCTCTTATTTGGATATATGAATTCAGGGCTTATTAGTACATGAAATGTAGTAAAGAAATCATAATTTACGATTCTTCAGCAAGTAACTGTATGCCTGTAATGGGGAGATGGAAGGGTGGAAAGTCAGATTAGTTCAAACTGTCAGGTGAAGATGTTACGGCAGCAGCAATTACTGTAAAACTAATCAGTAACGTTTCGAAACTAACTTCTTCAGGGTGTCACTAGGAGCTTATTAGGTTACTTCGTTAGATCCCTACCCGTAGAGTCTCACGATTGTCATGGGGCTTTGTGCGGATTTGACCAGCAGTGGGTTACCATTTTTCCCCATCGACAGCTGTTTCGAGTCTTCCTTCTGGAATCTGGAGGGTTACAAGTGAAAATCAGTAAGTCAACCAAGCAGCTGGTCATGGTTTGGGAATTAGAGTGTATCTCTTTTCAAACTTTCGCAGTTTTCATCAAATAATTCACCAAAAATGGAAGCATGTCGTCTTCAATTACAGGCCAGCAGTGACCAATGACTAATGTTCCCTATTCACAGATTGTTATTGTAACTGGCCCTTGAGCCATTGAAGCTTTTTCTTTTCCAGGTGGCCATATCGGAGAATTACTGGATTGTCTTTGTCGCCACGGGACCGCTTTACAGAGAACCTTGGGGGCAGGTTCTGATAGTTCTATTCATTGTTTCATTCGTTACTTCTCTAATGCTGATCGCCAATAGCTTTCTCTATCGCTATCTCCAGGTTTGCAAGTGAGTGAAATAGCTGTCGCTTCATTTAATAAGCACAAAGTAAAAGGTAAACAAAAAGGTGGTAGTTGTTCCCAGTTCTCGACAGGTGGTTAGCATAATACATAATATATAATTGGTTCGTGAAAGAGCTTGGAAAAGACAGAAAATTGACCCATTTGT